ATCATATTCAAATCTAAAAAATTATCGTCATGGCTCGGATCTAACCTTCCCAAAGCACCCGATTTCTATTTTTAAAAAATAAAATGTTTTAGAATACAATTTTATGTCAAATTTTATATATTTTTCTAATTAGAAACGAGAAGATAAGATCTAATTTATTTAATTTTAAAATTTAATAGTATTTAAAAATATTCTTTAATTTATATCTAAATATATATTTTAATTTAAAAGGATTGACTAACAAAAACTGGTAATAATTTTATTGGATATAATACTATACAAGGACCAACTTGAAAATAAAACCCCACGTCTTCACAATAACCACCTAAAGAAAATAAATACCCTTAAAATATTTTAATTAAGTAATTAAACATTTGTACTTTTAAATATATATTTGACTTTGACCGTAGTTGTAATTAGTTATAAACTCAGTATCAATACTAAAAGCTACTAAATTAAAGTAAAAAAAAAATACTAAAATGAAACAAAGGAAAATAAAATATGAACAGAAGAAAAACCCTTCACGTATCCTATGGCTCTGCCGACAAAGAATGACCCCTTAAAATATTTTAATTAATTAGTTATTTTTGTACTTTTAAAATATTATCTCAAAAGTTTACGTCTATACTGTGATTAATTAAATTAAAAAATATCTGAATAAGTGATTTTTTTATCTAATTTAAGTAAAATATTTTTATATAACATTTAAATTATTTATAACTTTTAAAGTCATTTACATTTAAACACAATCACATAAATTATATCCACGATGTTATAACAATACTAATTTTAATCAAGCTAATTAAAATATCTGACTTAATTAATTAAGCTATAATTTATTAGTGTGCTGTTGTTCGTAGATCCAATTTAAATTTTAAAATATCTCAAAACTTTATGTTAGTATTTTAAGTTTGATTAATGTACCATAAAGTTGACTTTTGGTCGATATGCATTTTCTTTTGTAAAAAAAAAAAAAAGCTATTCTATTTAAACATTAAAAAATCAAAAATTTTCATATTTTTCACGTAAAAAATTAAAAATTCATATTATATATATATGTGATAGAATCCTATTACACAATGTAAATTTTTTTAGTTTTATACAGATTTAGGATTGTTGGATGAGTGAAAATATATAATTTAGATTAAAAGTAAGAAATGATAAAATTTTCTCTGAAAAAAACACAATGAGTCAATTTTAACTATCTATTTCCACCAATCTAACGGTCCTAAATATATATAAAACTAAAGAATTTTACATTGTGTAAGTGGATCCTAACTCATATATATATATATATATATATATATATATATATATATATATATATATATATATATATATATATATATATATATATATATATTGAAAAGGGATTTTGTATGAATTACAGGGGAAGAAACTCATACAAAGATACTTAAATAACATATTTAATAAATAGAACAATCATTATTTATTAAGTTGTTTTAGTGGTAAGAGGGAGTAGAGATAGATCGTAGGGTAGGTGGGCATCCATCCCCTAAAAGTTGCTAATTGTTATATATTTTAAGTATTTTATTTATATTTTTTAGATTTAAGAGTTACTTTTATCCTTATAATATATTAAATTTATTATTTTTGTCCATATCGTAATTTTATATAAATTTAGTCTCAAATTTATTTAATTGCATCATTTTATATCTTACCCCAAACTTAAAATCCTACATTAATAACCCTAAATCACAACTCATTACCTTTAAATCTTAAACCCTACTAAACCTTAAACCTTGACTTAGAACCCTCGATTTAGAAAACCCTCGATTTAAGGTTTTAAGTTAGGGATAGAATATAAAAGGATGAAATTGAATAACTTGGAGGGTTAAATTAATGTGAAAATATAATAGAGACAAAAATGATAAATAAGATCTATTATATGAACAAAAGTTACCCTTTTGCCTTTTTTTTATTGAAAATATGTTTTGGTTACCCAAAATTTTATAAATTCATCTCCCTTTAAAATTTTATAAATTCATCTCGCTTTAAAATTTTATAAGTTCGTCTCAACATAAAATCACTTGTCCGTTCTTAGAGGGAATGTTGTTTTCAATAAATGATTCGGGTTCAACCAATTGTGTATGTAAAATATATGTATGTGGTTAATAAATTAAGAAATTTATCTAACATAAATATATGTACGTTGTTAATAAATTAAAAAATTTCTATTACATATACTATTTTATAATCACCTCAAATTATTTAAAAAAAAATAGTATGAAAACATAGGATTCCTTTTTTTAATAAAATGGAAGGGGGGAGATGCTTGAATTGTTGCATTGAAAGTGGGGGAAATCATAAGTATAGATGGATCCATCCTAAAACTGTACACTTTTAGCTCTCACGAGCTTCTCCTGCGCTTAGAAAAGAAAAAGGCTTTTATCTTCCATCTCCTCTTTCTAATTTTCTTTATCAGATTGAGTTTGTCCCCCACTTTTTATTCATTCCCCCCTTCCCATTTATCATCATCTCCTGTTTAATATTTTCAGCACTAATATAAAAAATTAAAGAAAAATTTATGCTAATTACGCGTTAGTCCAATTACTTTCATTATGGTATTAAATTAGTACCACGAATTATAATTATATTTTAAAATTTTAATGTAAATACCACAATTCAACTCAACTTGTGTCATATTATAAGAACATGATTTGAAGCTTATTGAGTACTCACATCATTTTTTATTATTTTTTAATGGGTTTATTCGAAATTAAATTATAGAAATCAAAGCATAAAAAATCAAATAGTTTTCGATCAATTGATTTTTTTTTTATTAAAACATAATTAAGTATGACAACATATCAGATTGAAAAGTTTATAATCTATTTGAATATTATTCGGTATTAAATAATAAAATTCAACCTCTATTTAATCTCAATTTAAAAATATTTTTACCAACATAACTTAAAATTTTATTTGAAAACTCAACTCTAATATGTTTTGATATAATTTTTAATTTATAGTGAAATAAAAAAATATTTTAATTATATTCGTTGAGAACAAAAAGGAAGATTGTAGAAGTGGAGATATTTGTATAAAACTCAGCGCTTAAAGTAGAAAGGAACTTATGAAGGAAAAATAATTAAAAAGGCTATCCGTTTGGATCATACGGTAAATTCTATTCTACGTATGATCTCTTAACTATTACTTTTCTTTATTTTGACTATTGATATTTTAATTTTGTTGATTAGGTCATTTAATTATTTAATTATTATTAATCAAGTCACTAAATATTAACATTTGACATAGATGTTGACGTGGTAGTTAATAAAATTGACATAAGTATATATTTGATTTTTATTACTTACATATTCTATCAATTTAGTTATAATTTTAATTTAACTCAAAAATTAATTATTCAATTAAGAGGTGCAACAAATCAATTTTGTGGCATATGTCACTAGTGACATGTGTCAACATGTTATTTTCGACTCCTTATCGACTAGTAAATTAAAAAAAATACATGGATTAAAAAAGTTACTCCAGTCGAACAATCAAGCACAAAATGAGATGGCCTTTTAAAATTTTATAATATAATTATATTTCAAACAACATATACACGCACAATTTCTCTTAATTTCTAAATTTTGCATTTTAGCTCATATACTTTTAGTTTATTTCAGTTTGATCCTAAAAGGTAAAAAAACAATTAGAGCAAAATTATAGGCAACTACTGACAACTTTATCATATTTCTTTAAATATTTTTTGAAATCAATATTTTCCTAATTTTTGTCGAGTACAATATTTCAGTAATTTAATAATCTTGCAATCTAGTGAACATGGCACGGGATTAATTAAATTGAATGTAATTGTTTAAATTAAATAATAATAAGTCAAACAAATATACCGCATTACTTTAAAAAATTGATATCGTACTTTATATTAATATCATATTCTTTGATTCGATTCATCGTAGTGAAGTGGTGGAAGATGTGCAACATATATTTCGAATATGTGATCCAGTTATCGTAGTTCGGAAAAGACCGATTAAACCGAGCAAATTCCACAACTTCATCGCAATGAATACGAAGGAAGGACTAATTACCAATTTGAGGCACCCATCCTATTTTGCACAGGTTCCTGAAAATTGAGATATCGTATGTCATTAACTAATTGGAAAATTTGGTTGTAAAGGAATATTACATTTTTGATGACGAGTTCGAAGAGAGACGATTGTAGAGTGTGGTACTCGAATAAAAGATGAGATATTGAGGGCTGTACAACCACCACTTCAAATATCAAGTGCATGAATCTAATGTTGTTATGGGCCTTGAGTGACGGTGTTCACCATCAAGATGGTTTAAAATTAATACAGATAGGACTGTACGGAATCGTAATAATACTCTTGCAGCTGGTGGCGTGGGAGAACGGGTCTTTGGTTTTTCTAAAAATTTAGGAACATGTTCAGTATTTTTGGCTGAATTGTAGACCGTGCATGATGCTTTACGACATGCAAAGAGCTTGGGATGCATGAAAATTATGGGGGAGACGGATTGCTTGAAAGTGGTTCAATTACTTTGTTCTAACACAGAAACTTCAAAAGGATCTGCATTAGTGATTGCGGTTTGTGATTTACCGCGTTTTGAGTGAGAAATACGCATTGAGCACATACGATGCTTGAAAAATGGGATAATTGATTGTCTGAGAAGTCTGGATCGTGAGACTCTGATTGGGGAGAGGATATTTCCAACACCACCATCTTATTTAGTTGGAATGCTGCAAATGGATCGATTACGTAGTCTTTGTTCGTTTTAAAAATATGAGATTAACGTGAACTTTGTAATACAGTAAAGGGACCTATACAGTTTTTGTACCATTTTAAGTGTAAAAATAAAATTTTGGGATCACAGTATCACACGAGAAATTGCAGAATAATCAAGGAAAGTGACGTGTTAATAATTATTTAAAAAAATGAAAAAAAGGAAATTTACTGAGAGAAGTGTTTTATACAGTAGTCTCTCTCTCTCTCTCTCTCGTTTGTCTTATATTATTGCTATAAATGTATATTTTCGTTTTCTCCGTAACTTTTCGCAGCTGATTTTCCATTCAATTTACGCTTCTTCTCTCCGGATTCAATTGATTGCTGCATTTTCCGGCATTGGCGTCGGCAAACTTGCTCCGGCTACTTCTTTTGACCAGGTTTCATTTACGAGTAAGCTTTGACTATTTTTTCCTTTTAAATTTGGTAATATCTAAAATTTTGAAATAAAGGACCATCTTTTATTATGAATCGTTTAAGTTTAATTTTAGATCTGATTTTTTTTCTATTTTTAGTTAATTGAAAGCGAATATGACTGTGGATGAAGTGACGGCCGTGCATGTGGTGGAGGAGGCGGCGGCATCGTCTTCGTCCAAGGTTGAGATTGCGGTGGAGGAAGATCAGGTGAAGAAGAAGAACGGAAAGGAAGACCGTTCGAATGGCGTCAATGGGAGGACTGTCAGGGAAGACACCAACGGTGGCGGTGATTATGTTTTCGTTAACGGAAACGACGGCGAAAATGGAGATCCAGTGGAGTCGGATCTTGAGAAAAATGGCAATGGCATTGGCGGAGTAGATCAGGGGTTTGAGTGTGTGGAGACTGAAGGAGAAGCGAAATCTAAAACTGATTTGGTTAAGGATTTGAGAGAAGAGGATGACTCTTGTATTGAAATTGTGGATCAGGACAAGGAATCGTTGGAATTGTGCCACGTGGAGGCTCTTGTTGATGAACAAAAATCAGGGGATCTTGTTCAAAGTGTTTCTGTTTCTGCTATTAATGCTGAAAACGGAGTTTCAGAAACTGCCATGGCTGATCAGTATGGAGTTTCTGAATCAGCTGAAGATGTTTCTGATGATATGAATATAGTTGAACACACTGTTTTAGAAGCTGCTGCTGTTGACTCCAGTGATAAACAGAGTGATGAGATTTATTCTGTCTTTGGCCCTGATGTCAATGGCTCAGCTAATGAAAGTGTCAAAGCTAATGTTGGCCCTGATGTCAATGGCTTGGCTAATGAAAGTGTCGAAGCCAATGTTCTCGATTTCAGGTCAAAGGGGAATGAGGAATCTGAAATGGCTGTAGCTGATGCTAGTGATTGCAATGGAGACGATTTAGCTAATGATAGAGCTAAGGCCATCGTGTCTGAAGCCAATGATATTGATTCCAGGTCAAAAGAGAATGAAGGCTCTGAAATGGCTGTAGGTGTTGCTAGTGATTGCAATGGAGGTGGTTTAGCTAATTCTAGTGTTAAGGCCAATGTTCTCGATTTCAGGTCAAAAGAGAATGAGGGCTCCGAAATGGCTGTAGCTTCTGATGGTGATTGCAATGGAGATGGTTTAGCTAATGATGGTGCTAACACCAATGTGTCTGAGGCCAATGTTCTGGATTTCAGGTCAAAAGAGAATGAGGGCCCTGAAATGGCTCTAGCTGATGATGGCGAATGCAATGGAGAAGGTTTAGCTAATGATGGTGCTAAAGGCACTGTCTCTAAAGCCAATATTATCCATTCCAGGTCAAAAGAGAATGGAGACTCTGAAATGGCTTTAGCTGATGATGGTGATTGCAATGGAAATGCTTTAGCTGATGATAATACCTGGGCCACTGTCTCTGAAGCCCATGTTATTGATTCCGGGTCAAAAGAGACTGAGGGCTCTGAAATGGTTGTAGCTGATGATGATGATTGCAGTGGAGATGGTTTAGCTAATGTTAGTGCTAAGGCCACTGTCTCTGAAGCCAATGTTCTCGATTCAGGGTCGAGAGAGAATGAGGACTTGGAAATGGTTGTAGCTGATGATGACGATTGCAATCAAGATGGTTTAGCTAATGATATAGATAAGGCCACTGTCTCTGAAGCCAATGTTATCTATTCGAAGTCAAAAGAGAATGAGGGTTCTCAAATGGCCATAGCTGCTGATGACAGTTGCTATGGAGACGGTTTAGCAAATGATAGTGGTTCCACTGTTTCTGAAGCTAGTGTTCTCGACTTCAGGTCAAAAGATAATGAGAGTTCTGAAATGTTTGTAGCTGATGATTGCAATGGAGATGGTTTAGCTTATGATAGTGCTAAGGCCACTGTTACTGAAGATGCTGCTGATTCCATTTCCAGGAATGTACAGAACATGGTTTTTGAATTGCCTGTAACTGATGATGGGGTTACTACCATCTCTGTCTCTGACTGTGATGGGGATTGTTTACCTGACATTAGGGAAAAGGACTCAGTTTCAGAAGCTGTTCTTGTTGATTCTGTGGCCAAACAGAATGAGTCCTCTAACAGTGTTGAAGTTGACGCTGATTCTCCAGGTCCTGTCTCTAAAGGTAATGGAGACAGTCCTGAACAAAATGGAATCTCTGAAATTCCTGAGATGGTGCCACAAGATGTTTCTGGAAATGGATCAGTTAAAGTTGGGGAAAGTTTAACAGCAGCTGATGAGTCTCCTGTGGAAAGTGGTTTGGGCTTAGAGCATGTTACTGAACGAGATTCGGGCTCGGTAGCTGATACTAATTTAGAAAAAGAAACTGTGAGTGGTTCTTTCTCCGATGAATGTGGAGAGGCCTTGCAGGATGTTCACACCCAGGATGGCATTTCAGAGACGGTTCAGATCAACAATTCTGTTGATTCAAGTAAGTCTTCTAAACTCGTGGAAAGCTTTATCTCCCCTATTACAAATAAGAATGTGCATATAACTGTTCAAGGGGTTCTAAGTGATACAATAGCTGATGTTGTGGAAGGCACATCCTCCACAGTTGTACTCCACAATAATGCACCTGTTGAAAGTGGTGTTAGTGATACTACGACTGAAACCTTTTTGCCGCCTTCTGTTGATGATGAGAAACTAGAAACTGACGTCATTGAGTTGGATGAGAATAGCGGAGTTGGATTTGAGAATTCGGAGATAGATATAAAGGATGAGAGTGGTTCTATTGATGATAATTTTAAGTCAAGATGCTTGAACAATGGTGATGGTTCTATGTTATCTGAAGAGGCTGAGATTTCTAAAGTGCTTGTTGAATGCCATAGCACTGAAACCGATGAAAAATTGGTGGATGTGGTTGATGTTCAAAGTGATAGTAACTCGGCTACTGTAAGTAATGATGAGAAAGCACCTGCTGCAACTGAAAAATTGTCTGCTGCAGATATTTCTGACAGTGATGAACTTGTATATGAATCTAGAGAATCAGATTGTGATGCTAACAATAATGAACAGACTCGTGCTCTCATAAAGGATGGAATTCAGTTTGGTACTGTTACATGTCAACAGTCAGAAGAACCAAAAGGCCTTGATGAGGTTGAAAGGAAAAGTCCATTTTACTTCTTGATTAGGGTCCCAAGATATGATGATGAAAATTTAAAAGAAAAAATCAGGCTTGCTCAAATTAGAGTTGAGGAGAAAACTCAAAGTCGGGATGCCATTCGAACTGAAATACAAAAGATGAGGGTAAGAATGATTATGATATTCTTTCTGAAAAGAATTTATATATTTGTTTCTTTTCTAGTGGTTGATAAAATGCTTCACTAATAGGTAATTTGCAAGAAATATGGTGATAATGTCGAGGCTGCCATATCCCAAGAAAGAGCAATACGAGATCTGTATAGGTCCAAACGCCAAGAAATAGACTCTATTCAATCTATGATGAACATTGAGGATATTGATGCCCAGGTAATTTCCTGTTTTACTCCATTTTGTTTTTTTTTTGTCTAAGTGTGCTTTTCTTTTATATATGGTTGATCGTTCTAACTATATCACCTGTAAGCAGATAAGAAACATGGAACACATGATACAGCATGAAACCATGCCTCTTAAGGATGAAAAACAGTATATTCATCAGATCAAGCAATTTAAGCAAACTCGTGAACGGATCTCTTCTAATATGGTTAGGCAGGATGAAGTTCGGCAGGGTTCGGACCAAAAAGACCAAATTAAAGAGCGCATGAAGGTATAAAATTCAAATGCTCTTCTTATTCCTGGATTTACACATTCTATGATTATAAGTATTGTACATTAAATTTGTTAGTTGTTGGACCATTCATCTTCATTTTGTCGTGTTAACACTATTTTTTTGATTGCCTATTTAATCCATTCTTCTGTATCTACAGTCTTTAAAGAAGGAAGCAGACCAATTGAAGGTCAATCTCCTGAAGGATGAAGCAGCCACCAAGGCTGCTAGGAAAGAGTATCATGATGAAGCTGAAAAGATAAACAAATTGCAGGTCCAGTTCAAAGCTGCTGATGACATCCGCCAAGAAGCATATTCACAGTTGCTGAGTTTGAAGAAACAATCATATGAGAAGGTACTTTCAAACCGTGTAAGCCTTTATGATATCATGTATATGACTCTTACATGCTTGCTAACATCCAGTCACTCTTGCCTTCACCCTGATAGAGAATTTTAATCGGATAGAGGCAATTAGGCGTGCCCATCAGTATTGAAATTTATTGAAATAGCGGAGGCACATATTAAAGTAATGATGTGCGGAAGTTATTGTAGACTTGTTTTTTACGATGCATTGTGCATTATTAGCGTTCCATCAGGATTGCTTTAAGGATGTTTTTCCATTATTTTCCTGCTGTATCCGGTGTTTCATGAAAGCGTACCCCGCGGAATTAAATTGGTGGTTTTTGTTTTCTATAGGTCAATTGAGATACTGCTTCATATCATCTAGACTTTCCTCTAGTTTCATACATTGTCTCTTCAATATATCCCAGTTTTGTAGTGTAATAGAAACTGCATTTTACGTTCCTGTTTCGGTTGTATATTTGCTTATGTGAACTAAGCTGTTTTTTTCCCACAAAGAAAATAAAATACTGATAAAAGATGCCGACCTACACTTGCTTGAATTTTGCAGAACAAATTTTTTTGGCAGTACAAGGATGATGCAAAGGCAGCAAATGATTTGGCCTTGAAAGGGGACAAAGAGGCACTTCAAAATCTGTGTGTTGACCAGGTGAGCCCATGCATTGATCTTATTTCTTAGATATTAAAAATTTCATGTACTCTTTTATCTAAACAGTTGATGGTTCAGGTTGAGAAAGTTATGGACTTGTGGAACAACAACGATGAATTCCGTAAAGAATACATCCGATGCAATGTCGGAAGTATATTAAGGAGACTGAGGACATTTGACGGCCGTGCACTTGGTCCTGATGAAGAGCCATCTGTAATTCCTCAAGTAGTAAACGAAAGAGTTGCCAAGGATCACACTGTGTCCAACTCAACTTTGGTAGAACAAACACAAGAGAAAACAGCTCCTGCCGTGGAGCAAAAGAATCAGATAAGTAAATCAGAAAAGTCCACGAAACCTGTTCCTCCAGCAAGTGGTTCAACAACTGCTTCTAGCAGGGAAACAATTGAAGCAGCAGAAGAAGAAAAACCAAAGATAACAAAGGAGGAAGAGGAAAGGCTTAGGAAGGAAGAGGAATTGAGGAAGGAAGAGGAAGCAGCTAAATTGAGGGAGCAGCGTCGGCTGGAGGAGATAGCTAAAGCTAAGGAGGCAATAGAAAGGAAGAGGCAAAACGCAGAGAAGGCCCAAGCTCGGGCTGCACTAAGAGCTCAGAAAGAAGCTGAACAGAAAGAGAAGGTAAACTCTTCTTTATCATCCACACTATAATATTCCTTGTCAGTTCCTTGTAACATAGAAATACTCGATACATTCTGCTTTGTCGCCATACGGATTCAGTGGGATTATCCTCGGTGCAGGAACGAGAAAAGAGGGCAAAGAAGAAGGAAAGAAGAAAGGGAGCTGCAGCAGCAGTAGTGGATGCAAGTGTTACAGATGAAACCGAATCCGCACCAACTTTGGAAACTCCACAAGATTCTGAAAAAATTAAAGAGAAACCAGTAACGGTGGCAAAGAGGTCTCAAAAGCCATCTCAGTTCACAAAGCAGACAAAGGCGAAATCCATTCCACCGCCACTTCGTAACCGTGGCAGGAGAAAGATGCAGCCATGGATGTGGGTTCTCCTTACATGCTCGGTAATATTCGCTTTGTTTCTGGTCGGAAACTATAACTTCTCATTCAACTTTGGGCTTCTGCAGAAGTTTTAAACTAGTAAACATATACACGTGTATTGGTTTGGCTTAATAAGTAGGCAAAGTAATTAAACATAGACCCGGTGGATATATCCATATTTGATATAGGCAATTCTTTTGTGCAATCAGGGTGGGGTTTTTATTTTATTTTATTTTATATATCTGAATTTCTTAATTATTTATTTTCCATAGTTTATGTATTTTTTTAAGTTGATGTATTTTTAAGTATAGATTTTTTTTAAAAAAAAACTTGGATTACTGCATATTTAAAATTTTAAGGTTGAAATTATTATGGTATAGAATTTAATTTACTGCATATTGGATTACTGCATAGTTTATATATATCTGATTTTAAGTATATATAGGCCTATTTTCTTGCATCTATTGATAAATCCTAATAAAAGGGTGGCTATATTACTGAAAGAATCTCGAGCTATTTTTTTTACACAAATTCAAATTTAAAATGATTTATTCAGAAATTTCTTTAAAATTGATTATGGTAAAAATATAAGAGTCTGGTAAAAGATTTATTATTATTGTTATTATGTCACAGAATAGTGACTCTCGGTAGAAGTTCACAAAAAATCCGAATATCCGATTTTGTGTAAAAAAATATCCGAAATCAGATTTGGGGAAAATCGGTTTTTTTTAACCGGATCGGATTTTTTTAACCGGTTATTTTAACCGGTTTGGAAAAAAAACCTAGACCGATTTTTTTACCGGGGAAAAAAACCGGCCTGAGTTTAAAAAACTAGCCGTTAATATAGCCGTTAGGGGGTTTTTTGTGACCCTTTTTGACCGTTTTTTTCTTTAAAAAAATTACCATTTTACCACCCTAAACATGTATAAATAGGTTGGGGATGTATTTGGTTGATTACAACTTTCTCAAAACTTATTACACAACACCTAAACATCTCTTAAATCTTATTTTTGTAATTTTTTGTTCATCATGAGTAACACGGCTGAATCTTCCGTCGGGAGAAACCTTGAAGTCGTGAGAGTGATCGAACACACTCGAAACAAAGATATTTGGGATCACTACGATTTATGTGAGATGTCAAATGGCTCGAGGAGGGCGCGTTATAAACTTTGTCTAAAGTTGCTTGCACCGGAAGGAAACACAACGTTGAAGAACCATTTGACAAAATCATGCATGGCACTTCGCTCAAGATCGGATTTAAGTCAATCGAATCTTACACCGCAAGGTAGTGTTTTTGTTTACGACAACGAAAAATTATGAGAAGCGTTTACAAAGTTCGTGATTACAAAAGCATTGTCGTTCGACCACTTTGATGATGAAGATTTCACGGCAACAATTCAACAACTAATACAACCACATTATACTCAAGTAAGTCATACCACCCTTAGAAGAGATGCTATAAAAATGTGGCGTACGGCGAGGGAAAAAATGATTTTAGGATTCCAAGAACACCATTATGGTGTGTCGCTTACATGTGACGTTTGGAGTTCCCCTCATAATACTGGAAATTCTTTTTTAGCCGTTACGACACATTGGTTAAATTAAGATAATTGACAAATGATGAAAAAAACAATCGTGTTTGAATTATTCGGTGAGCCGCATACCGGTGCTAATTTTTTTTACTCTTTTAAAAAGGGTAATTTGTCTTTATAAATTAGAAAATAAAGTTTTTTCTATATCCTTTGATAATGCATCGAATAATACAAACGCGGTTCCAAGATTGAAAATATTACTTTCACCGATTTTAGACGGTGCGTTTTTTTATACTCGTTGCGTTGCACACATAATTAATTTATCCGTAATTTATCCGTGCAAGCCGGTTTGGAGGTTATTGAGCCGATTAGATTAGAATTTAAAACAATGATAAAATCAGTTCTTTGTAACAACAACAAAAGACTAAATGATTATAAACGATTTTGTAAGTCGGTTAATAAAAAAGCTTTGGGTCATAATTTGGATTGTCCAACTCGTTGGAACTCAACTTGGATGATGATGCATACCGCCTTAAGGCAAAGGGAAACATTGAAAACATTTCACGATCGGCTTTTCGAGAGGGGTCATGTCTCAAACATTTATCCGGATTCGAGTTGGGAAACTATAGCCAAAATAACCGATTATTTTGAAGGATTATTTGGATGGAACGGCTCGGAAGCAACATATCACCATCCTAGAAGATGCAATTGATGCCGATTGGAAGCAAACTTACACATTGAAGAAGTCGAACTTGGAATATCCCCTCCAAACGAAGAAGGCGAAGATGATGAAGAAGAGATGGCAATGTAATTTATTTTTAAACTTTATTTCAATTATCGTAAACTTTGTTTCAATTATCGAACTTAGAAGTTTTTAAGTATTTGAATTTATTGAACTTGGAAGTTTTTAAGTATTTGAATTTATCGAACTTGGAAGTATTTAAGTATTTCAATTATCGTAAACTTTGTTGCAATTGATGACGATATAATTTTAATAATATTATAATCGATTTTTTAAAAAAACCGATTTTTTTCAAACCGAAACCGATTACACCGGTTAGGATATTCGGCCCTCCAAACCGGTTAGAATCCGAACCGATTATTTTATAAACCAATTTCTTATCTATAAAAAAAACCGAATCAAATAAAAACCGATCCAAATCAAAATAAAATCCGGCTTCTGTGCATGTCTAACTCTCGGTAACGACTTGAAAAAAAGATGGATGATAGAAAGATAGAAGATAGTTAGACCAGAAAAAGAAGAGAATTTTTTTATTAATTTATTTACGTTAAGGCTGTTGAAAGTACGTAATCGCGCGTATATTTAGCTCCCAACTAGACAGCTGTAGCGACAAAACCAGCTGATTTTTCCAACTCAGCAGCTCACAGCCTCCATTTTACGTTGGTCCCCATATTAGCTCATGCTTAGCCATCTTGGATGTCCTCTTCCCATCAGATACAAGCTCTCAATTTTTATTTTTTATTTTAAATTTGAATTTAAAAAATCGAACTCAAACTCTCAATTTTTAGAATTTAATTTAATATTAAACCCTTTTTTGTTATAATTTTTTTTATCACATAATTTGTTGTCCTGACTTAATTCTGATTGTAACATCAAATACTCTTTTAAATATTGTGTGCCTTCACATGCATGGATGGTCCAGAGGTAGAGGGAAAGTCTGATTGTAACATCAAATACTCTTTTAAATATTGTGTGCCTTCACCTGCATGGATGGACCAGAGGGAGAGAGAAAGTCTGATTGTAACATCAAATACTCTGTGTCGTCACCTGCATGGATGGACCAAAGGGAGAGGGAAAGGAGGCGGATAAAGACATTCGTCCCTCATAAAAATTTGAAATTAACATATTTTAGATATTTTTTTATTTTTAATTAATAATTTATTTTCATCTTTATAAATTTTATAAGTTTACATTCCTCGTATAAATTTATGTGTTTGTCATGTTAATATGTATTTTTTGGGTATGGAATCATTCTTCGACGCCATTAGTGTTGGGAAATAAACGAGTAATTTCCCTATAACCAGATTAGTGAGAATACGAAATAAAAGTGGAAAAAATAATACCCGAAATTGATAACAGAGTTCAACCAATTATGCATACGTCTCCGGACTGCTGCAGATCTTTTACTAAAGAGAGAAAAATTTACAAGTGATTACTAAACACTCACAAGAGAACTCTCTAACCTCTTTAGTATTGGGAGAAAAAAATGATTTGGGATGATTGTGAAGCTAAATGGGTTAGGGTATTTATAGTTGAAGCTTAATAACTAATCTTGTAAATACCCTTAAGTGTGCAGGGACTAAACTGCAATTTGCTCATTTCCATTTTCAATAGAAATTAAATACATCGAATTCAGTACCAAATCCACCGAATTCAGTGCTCCCCTTAACCCCCTTAATTGACTTTCCTTAGCCCCTTAATTGACTTTCAACAATCTCCCACTTGAAGACTGATTTTAATTTGTCTTCACACCTCGATCGATGTAGCAGCATTTCTGGTCTCGTTACTCTAGCATACCAACTGAAGCTGAACACAACTTCAGTTTGTCCGTAGTCACCGTCCTGTAAACCCACTTGTTATTGAGCAATTTCTCCGTGGTTGCCTTGTCCCTCAACGTCTTGACTCCCTTCGACTCTTGTCCACTAGTCTTTGAAGGATTATTCCTCACTTGAACATCCTCTGCAAGCCCCTGCTTCAACCATTCTCTTAAGATGGTCTCTGAAGTCATGTTCTCTATACGAACATGCTCGGCAAACTCCTTGGACACAAACAACTCTTCTTGCACTTGGCTTCTACTCGCCTTGGCAGAAATGAACCTTATTGAGCCAACTCTCAACGCCTCTTCGATCATGGGTTCATCCTCTTCTCTGGACAACTCGATCTTGGGCTCATCCATCACCTTGGATGACTCGGCTCCCCTCGGGTAATTTTGCAACACTTCTGGCATCTTAAGTCTACGCCCCCTCGTTTTCTCAACTCTTACCCTCGGCTTAGTATCTTTGACACTCGAACATGTCAAGACTGCACACATCTTCCCCAGACTCACCATCTGATTCATCATTGAGTGACTTTTCTCTACCACTCGAGGAACAACATTCATCATCCTCTGACTTGCCTTCATCACGAAATCTCTTGCCGCTACCCTCGGCTTTCATCTTTGCTTTGGAAGTCTTGTTCTTCTTGACTCCAAATTCTTTGATGGACTCAGCGGTTGTCAAGGCTTTAGACAACTGCTTGACTTCCCTTCGCTCCAACACTCTCTTCGCCCATGGCTTCAATCCGAACATGAAGGTGAAGAATCCATCTTCTTCAGTCAAATTTGGGACTTTCAACATGAGTCTTCTGAATTGACTCACATACTCCTTAAGTGTCCCTTTATGCCTGAGACGCCTCAACTTGTACCACGCCTCCATCTTGGCATATTGTGAACGGACTTGCTCACTTTGCACCCTCGGCTTGACGGATTTATCTCTTGCTATCGCATCGGGTCCATTCTTGTACTCGACTGCTTTGACACCAGCAGTCTCGTCACGTTTCGATCCTAGGTTGACTACTTGAGAACTTGTAGTCGCACCACTTTTGCTCCTTGATTCGGCTATTTTGGAACATATAGTCTCACCAAGTCTTTCTCATGTCTTGATTGCTTGGATACTTGCAATCTCGGGCTTTCTTCCGTGTTCAA